TGGAATCATACAAAAATAATTGCTCTCTAGTTCTTCAGATTGCCACAAAGAACCGTTACATTCAAAGACAAATTAAATCACAAACCAGCTCTGTTTTATTTCATGGTCAATTTGTGTGAAGATATTTAATGACTTCCTGCCCAGCATTAATTCTGTCCCCGCTAACACACGCCTGCAGCAGAAAATGCCTTTACACCCACCGCTCAAAATGCAATCAATCAGGTTTCACGAGCTCAGCTCCTAAAACCAAACACACAGAACACTTGCAAGGGAATAAAGTGCATGATTTAAACAGAGCCGTGGGCCGTAATACTGCCCCCAGCTGACCCCCTACACACATCACATTTATTCCTAATTCTATACTTTTTCACAAACGCAACCTTTTCACCATATGCTAAGACAATTGTACAATTATTTTGAGGGACAGTTTAGAGAGGAGATTCATACCATAAAAGAAAATGTGTTCTACTAATGAAATAAATCAAAACAGGAAAGATTGAAAGACATTAAGAGAAGCATTTTATATGTATTCTAGGATAAATGGATTTGTAAAAAAAAAAAAAAAAAAAAAACTACCAACTAACTATTAGAACAGCATCTAATCCTGTGAAAAAAGTTCCCATGACTTTGCCTACACACAGAGATGTTTAGTATATGTAACAACTTAAGTTTTGTAAAGAAACGTGAGGAAAACTAAAATCTTGTTACATAATTTTATCTGTAATTATCCCTTTTTCTAATGTGACATTCTGAAAATTAAAAAGTGCTCAAAAACATCCACGTTCTTTCTGTAGTTATTGTAAATGTCTCTCTTTAACCTACATGCTATACATGAAGAAAGTTTCCAAAGTCTCTTCACACACCTCAGATATTCACTTGCTTCACTGCTGTTTTTGTCCTTTCACCCACCAGTGTTGACACATGCTAACTTTTTCTATTTTGTGATTTAAGAGCATCATTTTTAAGTGGAATATTAAAAGCAACTTCCTCTTTCTGATTTCCACATACAGACCCTTAAAAGCTCTAAAACTGTTTCCATCTCATAAACCACAAGCATTAGAAAATGTTAACCTTGAAAAACAATGACAGTTCTTGCATATTCAGGTCAAAAAAGTTTAGATACTTTAACACTCAAATACAATAAAGAGCAGGATGAGGTGGCGGAACTGATTTAGCAATGATGGATTTATATTTAGTCTATTAAACCGGTTGCTTGAAGACCACCATCACAACACAACATTGTCCATCTCTGTGGTCTCCACATCACTTCCTCTGGACCGTGCGTCTTCCTCCTCCCCGTTGGGCTCCTGCAGCGAGCGCTGGGTCAGGTCCTGGCTGATGGTGTGGCAGCGGGTCAGGCTCCTGCTGTGGGCGTGAGGCGACTGCGGCCCACTGCTGTCCACCGTCTCTCCTCTCACCAGCCTGCGTCTGTCACGCTGACCCTCCGCCATCTGAGATCAACACGTCAATCAGCGGTCAGGCTAGCAGGAGTTTTAGTATTGTAGTACAGCAGACTTTTCACTAAACTAAACTAAACTACCAACATAACCTTGCTATTTAAAGACCAAATCATTTTTACATTTTATTAAACAAATGGTCACTATGGTTGGAAATGATTATTGTGGCTTGGGAATTAAGTAAGGTTAGGTTAGGTTAAGTTAAGTTAAGTTAAGTTCAGTTAGTACGCAAGTAAGATTATACAAATGGTCACTATGGTTGGAAATGATTATTGTGGCTTGGGAATTAAGTAAGGTTAGGTTAAGTTAAGTTAAGTTCAGTTCAGTTAAGTTAAGTTAAGTTAGTACGTAAGTAAGATTATACAAATGGTCACTATGTTTGGAAATGATTATTGTGGCTTGGGAATTAAGTAAGGTTAGGTTAAGTTAAGTTAAGTTCAGTTCAGTTAAGTTAAGTTAAGTTAGTACGTAAGTAAGATTATACAAATGGTCACTATGGTTGGAAATGATTATTGTGGCTTGGGAATTAAGTAAGGTTAAGTTACATTAAGTTAAGTTAAGTTCAGTTCAGTTCAGTTCAGTTCAGTTAGTACGTAAGTAAATAAACAAACATATAAATAAGTAAGACAGATATCTGGAGAATGGTACCTGGGGGCTGTTTCATAAAAGACTCTGTCAGGAGTGGGCGAGGCTTGTGAGTGAACGAGCACTGCTAAACAGACTGAGTGCAATCACAATAAAATATGCATTCTGTTAAAATATGTGTTGTTGGACATTAAATGTGACACATGTAAAATTGTAATCCTACATATGTTAATTTTTATCATAGCAGTAACTGTAAATCAAATGAAAGCTGCTAATACAGCCCTACTATCTCAAATGAGTAAATGTGTGTTCCTCTTATCAGTTAAAATGTAGTCTGATTTCTATTATTTATTTTCATTTTTAATTTAGTGATTTTAACTTTTAATTTAGTGTTTTAAATGCTTTAATGAGCAATTTTAGATGGTAATGTTTTAATGTTCTACTAATAACCATAAAAG